AGGGAACTGAGCCCCCCCCCCGGCTGAGATCCTGCTGGGGGGAGGAGTGTGTGTGTGCAGGGGGGGTGCGGGCCCATGTGTTCACACTGCAGGGTGCGGGAGCTACGCCGCGCTGCTTCGGGTGTAGGCAGGACTCTCTGGGGCAGGATCGGTGTGTGCGTGCAGTGGCATGCGTGTGTGTGCACAGGGATCGGTGTGTGCGTGCAGTGGCATGCGTGTGTGTGCACAGGGATCGGTGTGTGCGTGCAGTGGCATGCGTGTGTGTGCACAGGGATCGGTGTGTGCGTGCAGTGGCATGCGTGTGTGTGCACAGGGATCGGTGTGTGCGTGCAGTGGCATGCGTGTGTGTGCACAGGGATCGGTGTGTGCGTGCAGTGGCATGCGTGTGTGTGCACAGGGATCGGTGTGTGCGTGCAGTGGCATGCGTGTGTGTGCACAGGGATCGGTGTGTGCGTGCAGTGGCATGCGTGTGTGTGCACAGGGATCGGTGTGTGCGTGCAGTGGCATGCGTGTGTGTGCACAGGGATCGGTGTGTGCGTGCAGTGGCATGCGTGTGTGTGCACAGGGATCGGTGTGTGCGTGCAGTGGCATGCGTGTGTGTGCACAGGGATCGGTGTGTGCGTGCAGTGGCATGCGTGTGTGTGCACAGGGATCGGTGTGTGCGTGCAGTGGCATGCGTGTGTGTGCACAGGGATCGGTGTGTGCGTGCAGTGGCATGCGTGTGTGTGCACAGGGATCGGTGTGTGCGTGCAGTGGCATGCGTGTGTGTGCACAGGGATCGGTGTGTGCGTGCAGTGGCATGCGTGTGTGTGCACAGGGATCGGTGTGTGCGTGCAGTGGCATGCGTGTGTGTGCACAGGGATCGGTGTGTGCGTGCAGTGGCATGCGTGTGTGTGCACAGGGATCGGTGTGTGCGTGCACTGGCATGCGTGTGTGCGCACAGGGATCGGTGTGTGCGTGCACTGGCATGCGTGTGTACTCTGCTGACTTCAGTGTCTGGCAAGGGCCTGTGACCGGCTTTGTGGCGTGCTGGTCTGTTTCCCCTATTGTAATGTGTGGTCACTGCACAGAGGCAAGTGCTGGCAGTGGCCTGAGTGCTTAGTAAAGGCAAAGTGCCACTTTCAGTGTGAGATGCCTCAGAGAGCCACCCTGCCCCCAAAAGGAAGGGCATGACCCTACAAATAACAAGTAGCCAGTGAGTTACCTGGCCCATACTCTGGGGCCTACTATGAGATGACTGACTCCTGGGCTATATCTACACTCCCGGCTTCTTGCATGAGAAATATGCAAATGAGGCTAAGCATGGAATATCGCCAAGCCTCATTTGCATACCTAATGAGCTGCCGTTTTTGCAGAAGAGGCTCTCGTGCCAGAAGGAGCTGTCTACACTGCTCCAAGAAAAACCCTCTTGCGCAACGCCGTTATTCCTGAAAATAATCAGCGTGGAATGAGGGGTAACAGTTAATTCGAACTAAGGACTTGGTTCCAGTTAACATTTGACTGCTGCGTGTAGCCACGGGCAGTTAGTTCAGACTAAGGGGATTTAAAAAGGCGCCCGGACAGGAAGATGCAAATAAAGCCCAGGATATTTAAATCCCGGGCTTCATTTGCAACTTCAAATGCCTACATTAGCCTCCCTAGTTCGAACTACAGGGCTAGTGTAGACATACCCTAAAAGAGAGAGGGAGCCCTCTAGCTTTTCTAAAAATCTTAAATTAATACAGTGGTTTCTACAAATTAAAAGGGAAAAATCCAGTGTTTCTAAACAGATATTTCTCTGCAGAGATGTCACCTCTGCCACTCAGAGAACCTGAAAGTGAAATTGAGTAAACAGCCGTAACCTTACTGAGACTGCCTCACTAGGGTTGTGAGAATGATAGACTTCACTAGCAGCTCAGAAAAATTTAAAAAATGTTTTGGGTCAAACTGAACACTTTTTCAGCAATTTGAAAAGTAAAATAATTGTATTTCTGGTCAAACAAATCACTTTTTTTACTGTGACCATTTTAAGACTTTGTGGATTGTTTTGAATAAAATCAAAGGATATTTTTAAATGAAAAGTTGCTTTGAACTGAAATATTGAGACATTTTGAAAATACTGAAACAACAAAAGGTATTTTTATTTTTCCTCCAGAATTATTTAATGTTTTTTTTTCCAACCCAAAATAATCGGATGAAACCAACAAATTCGCTTAATGTTTTGGTGTCACTGAATCTTCATGTTTTGCTGAAAAAAGCTTTGTACAATTTTTTTTTTTTTTTGGCCAAGCTTTACTTTTGATGCTCTGCTTCCAGAAACCTGTACCTGACCTTGTTTGAATGTTTGTCTGATTTCAGGGAGAAAAGACGACTCCATCTCTTGTGCTACAGACCAAAGGATATTTGAATAGACAAGCATTATGCCTTTTTTGCATGGCTTCCGCAGGATCATTTTTGAGTATCAGCCACTGGTAGATGAGATCTTGGGATCTTTGGGGATACAGGATCCTGACAAGCAGGAAACTCTAGAGAGGTAATTAATTTCAAGACTCTGGTGGCCTTTATTCTGTGACTTACTTTATTTGTAAACTAACAGAATGGAGGATTAAATAAGTGGTTGTGCATTACTCTAAGCTCTACAAAAGCTCCTCTGAATAGTTGCATTGTATCTAATTAACATTCTATTATTATTATTTGCATTACAGTAGCATGTGAGGTCATAGCTGAAATTAGGGCCCTGGCTTGTAAGAAGTAAGGGTTCCTGCCCCAATGAGTTTACAGTCTAAATAGACAAGAAGCAGTGAGGTGAAGTGTCTTGCCCAGGGTCATCTGGCAGAGCTGGGACAAGAACCCAGGAGTTCTGAGTCTCAGTCCAGTGGGCCATCCTTGACTGTATTATCACAGGCCTTTGCCCCAGGAAAGCTTGATACTAACGTTCAATGGATGTAGGTGCCAATAAGATTTGGGGAGCACTGTACTAGAGAGGAGGCAGTTCGTTACACGGAGTTAAAAGGCAGATTACAGTGTTTCCCAAAACCTGCAGCGAGGGGCTGTTTAATCCAGAGAGACCTTCCTGGTTAGCCTCCGTTGTCTTGGAGTAAACTCTTGCAATAGTGGAGTTCTCTCAGGTGACCGGCCTGTAATTCTGAGCAAATAAGACATCCCGGGGCAAGTGTGCCATGAAACGAGAGCGGCGGTGAAAGCAGGCCCGAGGGGGTTGCTGGCTTCCACAACACAAGGCTGGAGGACTAGCACTTGGGAAGGCGGCACTAGGGATGTTAGATATCGTTTAAGTGTGTAACCTCACCAGATCGTATCGGTTACATGACTATTTGACGGTCTCTGGAGCGGTATGCACGGAGAGCCAGCTTGAAAGCTGGTTCCCCTCGTATATCTGCTCCCAACTGCCCCCTCCCTTCGCACTGCAGCCTCTGATAGCGTAGGAGGGGCAGGTGGCTCGGGAGCCGATACGCACAGGGAGCCAGCTTGAAAGGTGGCTTCCCGCAGTTACCGACTCCTGCTTGCCCCCCTCATCTATCAGAGGCAGCTGTGCTGGGGGGAGGAGGCAGGTGGCTCATGGGGAGGCAGTGGGCGGGGGGCAGAAGGGGGAGGGCGGTAATGCGTGTAGCTGTTTGGATTAACCGATAAACCCAGGTTCATCGGTTAACCGTTTAAACAAATGTACGCTAACATCCACCTGCAGAGGGCGTGATTGAGACATGCGCTGGGCTTTGGGAAGGAGCCCAGCAGAGTCAGGTGCCCAAGTCCCAGTGAAAGTCAAAATACTCTGGGCACCACAATCACAGCCTTGATCTTTGCAACCCTGGTGAGATGGGACAGTCGTTGCAGCGCAGGTCTGAGAATCTGGCCAGCCCCTTCCCGTTCCTGACGCCCTCAGATGTACATTGTGGTCACGGGCAAGTCCCTCGTGCTCCCTGTGCCTTTTCTTTTTTTCCCCTCCTCTGCAAAGTGGAGTTGAGGCTTCCCCCCCATAGCAAACTACTTTGAACGCCTCTAAGGAAAGGGGTCTCAGGGCCTATTCCAAACGCTGCGGGTGCTGGTGGGTGTCCTCCATTGACTTCAGCAGCTGTGCCTCAGGCCCGACGGGCAGGTATTACCATCATCAGTTTTAGGCTGCCCTCATTCCCCCTTCCAGTGCGGTGCCAGGAGAAATGCAGGGAGCTCTAACAATGGGGGACTCTTCTGTGTCTCCAGTCCCAGCTGCCTAGCTGAAGACAGCAGCAAATTCTTGGTCCTCAGCGAGCTGCTGGAGAGAGAGACCCAGTCCCCATTCTACCACGAAGGAGTGAGCTACTCCTTGCTGAAGGTAGCTGAACTTGGGCTGGTGCATGCAGCCGAAGTCCTCCTGCAGAATGGGGCCAATCTCATCTTTGAAGGTAAGGCTGGGGCAGGCAGCGACACGCAAACTCCTGTGCCTGGGGCTAACCAGCTTTGTGGGAGGCAGAGAGGAAGAGAGAGGTCCATTTTGGGAGCTGCCTAAGGTGAACGCAGTGTCCTGGATCTGACTTGGGCTCCCAGCCCACCTCCCCCTCTTCATTGGGCTGGTAATTCCCACGTTAACCTGGCTGGCGCTTGGAGTGGTGGCAGGAGTGTTACAGTTTTGGGAGACATCAATGCCCGCCCATTCCGTTTCCAGGTGCATAGGATATTCCACTTTCCCCTCCCAACCCCCTTCAGGGGGCAATAATCAGGCCTTTGCTATCTTTCTGCTAAGACCAACCATGCCCTTCTCCCTCACAATGGATTCATCCCCCACCTCCCCCCAAACTTGTAAGCCAGGGGCGAATGCTGTGTTGCCTTTTCTGTCAGTGCTAATGAAAATGTCCTTGCTGGCACGGGGCAGCACGTTTCTTGGTGCTTGTCTCTGAGAAGTGCATCGCAGAAAAGCATCGTGTGGATGTTCTGGGCTTTGCAGGGAGCCAGGTGGCACCTTTCGGTTTAAATCATCGGTAGGAACAGGCAGGCATCCTAGGGGGTTCAGGGAACGAGGGGAAAACATTAAGAAAGAATCTGATGGTCAAACCAAAGGTGTCCCCACCTGGGGGCAGGCGTTGGGCTAGGGAAGTGGCCTGTCTGGCAGTCTCTGTACTGAACACAGTAGTGCTGAGGACTCTGCAGGGGGACAGCATGGCTTAGAGGTGAGTAACGAGCGCTTCCGGCCTCCCCTCCACTCCACCCTCTATGGGCAGCCACCTCAAATCCACCTAGGGTGACGAAAAGCTGTTGCCAACTGCTGGCTGCTTGAGTGAGGTAGGGTCAGTTCTGCGGCCACAGCAGACACCCGGGTTACCAGACCCAGCAGAGCGCTACCAGCCACCAGGATTAAACTACCCCTTTAGTCCAGGATTGAGGCGGGCTGGCTGGTGCTGTGCAGGCTGGCTTGCCTTCACTGTGGCCTTGCTGTACCTGTGGATGGCTAGGATCGTAGAATACTAGAACTGGAAGGGCCCTCAAGGGGTCATCAAGTTCAGTCCCTTCCTCCCGCAGCAGGACCAAGCACTGAAGGGGCTGGATGGACAGCCCTGGCGCCTATCAGCCGCTTTCCTTGTGTCAGCTCCTGGCCCTGTTTAATAGGGGGAAGGGTTTAAAAAGCTGCAGAAGTCAGCCCTTGACTTCTGTTCACGCCGTGGCCTTGTGACATCACAGCCAGAACGCTGGCTATGTTCCAGCAGGGTGGCTGGGTTTAAACAGAGCCACCTCCTAGCTGTTGGGTCCAATATATTATTAACATTACAAACACATTTCACAGGTAGTTTATTTTGTTGAGGTTTTTGTCAAACTGTCAGAGATTGTGGTAGGCAGCTTACAAACCTGTAGCAAAAGATTTCTCCCCCAAAGTTTACAGTCTAAAGCTCCAGTCCTGCAGCTTATATCTATCCATTCACATGCTACACCAATCTGGAGTCCTACTTGGGCTTTGTGCTAATGAAGCAGATACATTTGCAGAATCAGAGCCTAAGGATGTTGAAAACCAGCCAGACCTCTTACCGTAGAAGCAATCTAATAGCGTATGCAACATTTCTTCTTCTTTTTTCTTTTTTCTTTTTTGTTTTGTTTTGGTTTGGGTTATTACAACCCAGGTCTGTCCCCACATGTGCACATGCTCAATTCTGGGTATGGCTAGACTACAAGACTCCATCAACAGAGCCATGTAGATGAGTTTACTAGACATAGGGAAATTAAGTGGCAATTTAAATAATCGGAACTTCATTTACATCAAAATGGCTGCCACACCGTGCCGATCAGCTTTTTGGTGGCACAGCAGGGCAGTCTGGATGCACCACGGTCAACAAGGGAAGCCTTTGTCGACCACTCCGGTAAACCTCATTTCACAAGGCAACCCTTGTCAACCACGCCGTGTCTAGACTGCTGCGCTCTGCCGGATCAGCTGATTGTCGGCACAGGAAGGCGGCCATTTTTATTTTAATGAAACGGGGATTATTTAAATCCCCGTTTCATTGACTATGCCGAGTAAACTATTTTACATGGCTCCGTCGACAGAGACATGTAGTCTAGACGTACCCAGAGAGACGTGGCACCCCCCAACAGCTGGGCTTGGGCCATCAGTTGCTTTGCTTCAGGCCAGGGGTAGTGTAGACATACCCCCTGTGATTGCTCCAAGCCAGGCAGGAGCGGCCAGACAGCCAACACAGACACCCAGGGAGACAGAGTGGGATCTCCAGTGAACTCTGGGATAGGCAGGGATTTGCCAAGCCAAGCCAGCCCCCTTCCCACGCTTTTAGCCCTGTCTGGGGAGCTGGACTCTCCAAACCCAGCTGCTGCGGGTTACGTTGCTATACCTGGGACTGCTCATAATTTTCAGAGGGCGTTTTTAGTTCTGACTTGTCATTGGGTCTGGCCCTAGATCCTGTCACCTATTACACGGCTCTGCACATCGCTGTTCTCCGAAACCAGCCGGACATGGTGGAGCTGCTAGTGCGCCAGGGGGCGGACGTTAACCGGAGAGACCGGGTATGGAAAACACCAGCCTTATACGCAGGGTGACGGGATCTGACCTCGCCGGGGTTTATGGCACCGACAACACCTCCTGGGAGAACCTGGGCCGCTGCTCTCCTTTGTAGAAAGCACTTGCTACCAGCAGAGGGATCCAGACTGCTTAGCTCCTCTCCCTTTGCTGTCCTGGGCTGCTCCAGTCTGGGTGGAGCACTGCATGCTGGGATTTGTAGTTTGCACAGGCTTCACTGCAGTACTCAGGCCTGGCTGCAACTAGTCCTTTGTATGCCTGCCCCAAAGTGCTACCGCTGCTGGGAAGAACCCACACTGTTTCCTTCTGGCTGTCCCAGCCCTGCTTGTCAGCCAGCTGTCTCATTGGGGAACCCTTTTGTGCTGCAGTCCTCATGCTGTAGGATCAGCCTCCCCTGCAGAAGATCATTGGCTTTCGGTGTTGCCTTCCTCCCCCCAGATTCACGAGAGCAGCCCCCTGGATCTGGCCAGCGAGGAGCCTGAACGGCTGCCGTGTTTGCAGCGTCTCCTGGAACTCGGGGCCGACGTCAACGCAGCAGACAAAAACGGTCTGTGCCCCTTTCCCTCCAACATGAAGGGTTAACTTCCCCCTTGGTCCCCTACCCCCATTCTAACTTCTGGTGCACTTGATTCCCATGCAGAAAGCAACCCTTGGTATGTGGAGAAAACAGACTGGGCAGATGGGGTGGTCCAGTTAGAGCAGAGGACGGGGGAGGCAAGACCCCGGGATTCTTTTCCTAGGTTGTTAAGTTTGGCTCTGTTCTGAATTAAGGATGAGAACGACTAGTTACTGCCTCTGATAGAAACAGCAAGGGGGGAAGGAAAGCGAGGGGGGGTAAGAGGCGGGGGTGCTTCAGGCGGCAGTGCTGCATAGAGTCCAAGGTCAGCAAGGGAGTCCCCAGCTGACCCAGGGCTCCACCTGGTGCTGCCACCTTGAAATGCCACATGCAGCCCAGGGTCCCCAGCTGGTCCTGGGCTGCACGCAGTGTTTCAAAGCAGCAGCGCCGTGTGGAGCCTGGGGTCCCCGTGCAGTGCTGCCGCTTTTAAATGCCACTGGAGCCTGATGCTGGGCTTCCTTTGGTATTTCAAAGCAGTAGCGCTGCATGGAGCCTGGGGTCAGCTGGGGACTCCTCCGCTGACCCCAGACTCTGTACGGCGCTGCCACCTTGAAGCACCACGGGGAGCACAGGGCCAGCGGGGGACTGCTTGAGCCCCGGGCTCCCCACAGCGCTTTCGCTCTGGGGCTGCTGTTACACTTCAAAGGCAGAAGCACCCTTATCGACTATTCCGTTAGCCAAATAATCAAAATTTGACATCCCTAATTCTGAATCACTCAGTATTCGGCCCATTTTAGAAGCAAGAACCACCTGTGGAAATTCAGATCCAGGTTAACACTTTCTAACCCTCGCAGGGTTCAGGAGTATTTGCCCCTGGCCTGTTGGTATCTCTAAGACAGACACAGGCAGAATTTGACCATATTCACACAAGGTGGGTCTCGCCCCTGCTTCAGCACGGCTATGTAGCTGTGCTCAGACTACCTGGCATTGCTGGGGTCTGTCACTTTCTGGCTAGCACTTGATTCCTGCCCACACGCGTCGGGGAGCTCACGCTCCGTCTGTGTTTGCAGTGACTTGACTTCTGATCCGGGGTGCCTAAGGGCTAATGGAAGAGCCACAATCTCAGTCTTCCTCTGGCGACTCTAAAGCAGCATTGCGCTAACACCTGCTATCCCCAAGGCCCTGCCCCTGCCTTGGAATGGCTCACGAAAGGGGTGCATCCATTTTCTCTTTCAAGGCAGAGCTATTTGCAGAGTGTTCCCCTCCATACCATCGTGGTTCGTGGACAGGACCAAAAGGGAGCCTCGCTGGAAGTCCCCTGGTGTAACTTTTCCCCTCTTCGTTCTACGCTCTTCTCCGCAGGAAAGACAGCCTTGCTCCATGCCCTGGCCAGCAGCGATGGAGTTCAGATCCACAACACCGAAAACATCCGGCTCCTGTTGGAAGGAGGTGAGCCGAGCCGTTCAGTGTAAAGACCAAGCGCTAGAGGTGGGCAGGGCCCGTCTATTCTGTGTTCACACAGCACCTAAGCACTGTGGTCCATGCCAGGAGTTCAGAGGTGCTACTGTAGAACAAACACCACAACAGTTGGCTTTGGCCTTTCCTCCATGCAATAGTCCAGGCAGGAGATTGGGCTCTCCTGTTACACCCACCCCAAGTGAAATAACTTGCAACTTTGCCCTTCTGGTTCATGTCCTGTTCATGCTGCAGGGCTTCAGACAGTCACCTCTAGGGGTCAGGAAGAGATTCCCCCTTCTCATCGTATTCTGGGGTTTGTAGGGTCTCCTTCCTCAAGTGTCGCAGATGACCTCGGCTGGAGATGGGACATTTGATGAAGAGAGCCAGGACTCTTGGGGGCACCAGGCATTCTCTGAGTTGCTGTCTGGGTTTTACACTCATGCTGTCAGTCTAACGGGTCACCATGCGGCATCGGAAGGGAGGGAGTTTTCCCCCAGGTCAGACTGGCAATGCCCATGGGATTGTTCGCCTTCCTTTGCAGCATGGGATGTGGGTTTCTTGCCATGCTCCTTGGGGCAGATCTTGCTTATTCAATTCTACTACTGGGGTCTCTGCATTGGTGAGCATCAATCCCCCTTCCTCTGCCTGCACTACATAACAATACCTGGTCTCAGTTGAGTTGCTGGGTTTAGTGGGCGAGTGCTGGGGGGCCTGTGATGTACAGGTCAGACTCGGTGATCGTATGGTGCCATCTGACCTTACACTGACAGCTTCACTTTTCTTAACCTATTGTCACGGTGTGGATGAAACCACGTATCTGCCACGTTATGAACCCTCAGCAGAGACTCCTAACTAGCAGCACGGGCTGGTACAGAGGCCTGTCCCTCCAGGTGAAACAGCCGCTGGTGCAAGTGTGAGCTCCATCCAGGCCACGCCTAGTCCCTAACTGGCAGGCAGAGGAGGGTTGGGGATAAGCGCTAACGGTCATAGAACCATAGAGCTGGAAGAGACCTCAGGAGGTCATCAAGTCCAGCCCCCTGCCCAAGGCTGTGAACCAATCCCAAATAAATCAACTCAGCCAGGGCTTTGTCAAGCTGAGACTTTAAAACCTCTAGGATGGAGACTCCACTACTTCCCTAGGTAACCCATTCCAGTGCTTCACCACTCTCCTAGTGAAATAGTTTTTCCTACTATCCAACCTGGACCTCTCCCACCACAAAGGTCAGGCCCTTTTCCATTCACTGGAGCACGTGACGCGGGCCCTGAAACATCTCTGCAGAGCGTGTATCAAGCAGCACCTCAGACCTGTTGTCCAATGGTGCGGTACCGTATGCGGTGGGGTGGGACATGGATGCCTGCACCTGCTCTTTGGTATCAGCCTCCCATTCCAGGGAATGTCCGCTGGGGTCTCTGACCACTGCTCCCCCTTTTATCTCTTGCTTCAGGAGCGGATGTGAAGGCCACCACTAAAGATGGAGACACCGTCTTCACCTGCATCATCTTCTTGCTGGGCGAGACGGTGGGCGGGGAGAAAGAGGAGGTGCGAATGATTAACCGCTTTTGCTTCCGGGTCACTCAGCTGCTGATGGTCCATGGTGCTGACCCCAGCGAGTGCCCAGCCCACGAGTCACTCACGCACATCTGCCTCAAGAGCTTCAAGCTTCACTTCCCGCTCCTGCGCTTCCTTCTGGAGTCGGGGGCCTCCTACAACTGCTCCCTCCACGGCCCCTCCTGCTGGTCCGGCTTTCACATTGTCTTCGAGAGGCTGTGCTCCCACCTCAGCAGCTCAGAAGACGACAGCTTCTCCGCTGACCTCCTGCAAAAAGCAGAAACAGTCCTCGAGCTCATGGTGGCCAGCTCGCAGGTCCCGAAACTGCCTAGCAACTTTGAGATCAACTCCACCAGCTGCAGGTTCCATGGGGAGAAGATCAAGGCCCTTTTCCATTCCCTGAAACAGCTGGAGCACACCCCGCAGTCCCTGAAACATCTCTGCAGGGTGTATCTGCGGCAGCGCCTCAAGCCGTGGCCAGTGGATGTGAAAATAAAGGCCCTTCCTCTTCCCGACAGGCTAAAGTGGTATCTCCTCATAGACCACAGCAGTGCCAGTGAGGAGGACATCTGAGCCAGGCAAGGCACAGACCTGGACCGCTCCCTCCCCAAACACTCTTGGGACTCAGTTTCCCCACCTGGAAAACTGAGGGGTTCTTTATGGTTCAGACCAGCTTCCTCCACTGCTTTATTTGAACATGCCATGCTGTCCCCAAATACCGCTGTGGGGCCTGTGCATGTGGGCGCTGCATGGGCCTGGCTTCTCTGGGAAGGGATGGCCCTCAGCAGCATGTTACCTGAATCCCAACGAAGAGCGAGTCGGGAGTGGGAGGGCAGAGGGACAAGTGACGGGCCAAGCTCGCGTGTTGGTCAGAAGGCTGCTTCACACAGACATGCCAGAAATGCCTGCCTGGATTTGCAGTCATGAGGTGATGCACGCTGTAGGTTGTCCAATTACATGCGCCGTGCTGTTCGAATACACCAAGGAACAAAGAGTTCCCCTCTTACCTGCCCACCTGTGAGTTTCCTGTCAGGCACTGAATTTGGGAATGGCTGAAGCAGTGCCTTAGACAAACGGCTGCTTCCAAATCTGTCGCCTCGGGGGAGTGTGGCCTGGAGGCAGAAAGAAGCCTGGAGCTGCTCTGAGAAAACATTCAGTGAGGGCCTCCCTCTCCCGCCTCCTTGGGAAGAGTTGCGGGAGGTTTCGCCTCAGGCCAGGCCCAGGCATGGGCGGTGCTGCCAGAAGGATTGATGGACTTTCACCAGCCCCCTCTGTGCACAGCCTTGAGCGGGCCTGGCTCTCCCAGCACTTGGAAAGCAAGAACCATGGTGCATCAGTATGTGTCACGCCAACTTCCCCCAGGACTTCCTGGAACCAGTCACTTAGCCTGTCGCACTCCTCTCAGAGCTGTACCGCCTGCCAGGACCACAGAGGGAGCAGAGAGGTTTGCTTTCTCTGTCTTTCCCCAGGCACTTGCCAGCACTTGAGGCAGAGGCTGGGGTCCCGGTGACCCATGTGGGCCTTGGGCTCAGACAGACCCGTACAAACAAGAGGGAAGGGGCAGGGCTTGCCACAGCACCTGAATCTCTAGCTCCAGGCTTTACCATGCGCTGCTATTGCAAGTGGAGGGTGGCTTCGTACAAGGAGGCACTAAGGGGCTAGTGGAAGATGTAGCAGAAACAGGACTAACGGGTCTGGATGTGGATTTTCAGGCCAGGCCATCCTTTTGGCTTAGCCTAGCAGCACTGTCTTTCCTGCTCCTCCACCGTGGGGGTGTCTAGAGGTGCTCTCCCCACTGCTACCTGCACCACACAGTATCGGGGTACACAAGGCTCTGGGGTAGGGGTGCTCCTCACCTCCTATGGCCTTGTCTTGGGCTGCAGGTGTCCCATGAAGGCAGTGGAGGGTTCCCCCTGGCCAGAGAGCACTTTGCAGCCCCCTTATTCCAGCCTACCCTGCCCTGGCAGCAATGGGCAGGGCTCTCGGCCCGTGTGGCTACCAGCCCACCCAAAACCCTCAGTGTGATCTCAGTCTGGGGCTGCCAAGAGGACAGGCCAAGTTACAGCACTATCCCCTCAGGGTAGCCTCCCTCCTGCACGTTGTTTGCTTCTCAGCTGCCAAAGCCAAACAGCGGCTCAGTCATTCTCCCCCCTGAGCCACAAAGCAAGGGCTCCCCCACGGAAATCCACTGTGCTGCGCCTCAGATTACAAAGCTGGGCGCAAACAGCCTTCCAGTATCTGAGACTAATACTCTTCCTCCCAGACCATCACCCTCACCCGTTTGTTAAGGCTGACAGGAGGGCAAGCTGATGAAATTCACTGTTCTGCCAAACTCCATCTCCCCAGCCCCAAACACGTCACAGGAGCAGCTGATGATCATGTTGACAAATGGGTGTAAAATGAACCACTGTGCCAGTGTCTTGCTGAGATCAAGCCATTAAATGAGCTATTGCAATAGAAAATGGATGTTTGTTTCCTCTGGGCTGGTGTGTGTGTATGTGGTTTCCTAGGGGTGCAACAGCTGGGATCTACCTATCCCGTAGGGTGATGAAAATTAACTACAACAGTCCTTAGCACATAGGAGGCTAGTCACAGCTGTCAGTCCCCATTGGGCAAGTCTGATGGGCCAGGTGCCATAAGGTTCCTTATTTCCAATGAGGATTTACAGTGATAGCACCAGTCAGGCTATGCCCGATTTACACTAGGCTGCGACTGGAATCTAAAAGAAAGAAATCTGACTCAGCTGTTTGTTAGCAAGGCAAACAGAACGAAAACACCAAAGTTATCCAGAGCTAGGAAGAACTGAGCCTTCGCTTTGTTAAAGCCTGGCCTTGGAGGCGGGCCACCAAGTTTTTATTCCCAGTTCTGTACTGGGCACGGGATTAAAGCACTGAACTGTGTGCTGTTTGCACAAGAGGGAGAATGCCCTTCTCCTGGCACTGGGGGGGAGGGGGGAAGGAGAGACTTGCTGCTCTAAGCTCAGTAAGGGCCCTGGATGAAGAGGTTTTAGACAGCAACACGGCCAAACAGCAAAATCTCATGTTGTAAACTTATCCTGTTGGTACGTGGCCATGCACAAACTGGGCAGGCCTCTGGGCATGCTGGCTCCTCTTTGGAACACAGCCACAAGGTGTTGCCCCTGTTGTAGCTTAATTCCTGCCTCAGTAACATGGTTGTTCTTTTCAGCAGTGGGTCCAAGGGGCTACAGCAGCAGGCTTGTTCCATAGTGGGGACTAATTTAAAGTACAACAGCCACGGGTGAGCGGCCCTGACCGGTTTGGGTTTGTCTGCACTAGAGCTGGGCAAAATATGGCCTGGGGGCCAGATCTGACCCGCAGACCCCCTGCCGGGATCCTCAGGCATGCAGCTGCTGCTGGTTTAAGTGCAGCGCTGCTCCATGTGGCTCTGCTCTGGATGGAGGGGGAAGCTTCATGGGAGAGGGAACAAAGATGGAGAGCAAAGGCTTCCTATACTGCTCCTGCTCTGAGCAAAAATTCTCAGCTTCTATTGGCCAGAAACTGAGAGATTGGCCAATGGGAGCTAAGAGATTTTGCTGGGGGGGCAGAAACAACATGAGAAGTCTCCCCACTCCCTCCCTGCACCCAGAGTTGAGAGCCATGTGGAGGGAGCAGCCTGTATTTTCAAGTGGGCTGGGGCTGCAGCAGGCAGGGAGCCCAGCCTGCCTTGGAGATGCAGCCTGCTGGCCAGGAGACACTTATGTAAAGTCCTCCCAGCCAGCACCTGCCTCTGGCACCCCAACCCCTTCTACACCTCAACTCCCTCCCCCAGATCGCCATGCAAACCCTCTGCACCCCCGCCCCAGGGGACCACTCCCTCCAAGATCCTATGCCACCTCCTACACCTCTCCCCCCAGCCAGAATCCTCTCCTGTACCCACACTCCCTCCCTGATCTTGCACCCCATTCCCCTGACCTAGTTCACAGTCTGCTTTTTCACCCAAAGTCCCTCAGACCCCACACTGTCTCCTGCACCCCAGTCCCTTACCCCGTGTGCCCTTCTGCACCCAACCTCCTTCTTAGACCCCACACCCTCTCCACAGAAAAGTGCAGCCCTTGATCACTTACCAAAATCTTCGAGCATGTCTCAAAAAAGAAATTGCCCATCCCTGGTCTACACAGTGATATATAGTGCTGGGTTGTGAATCCAGAGCTTGTGAGCTACTGGCTTGCTAAGCTGTCATTCAGACAAACCCTTAAACCCATGTCCCAGAGCTACAGCGCCGCCAGTCAGCATTTCCTGTTGGGTTGCTGCTCAGCAGTGACATGAGTAGTGGTAACAGACAGGAAATTGCTACAGCAGGGGTGGTTTGACAGGCCTGGTGCAGCCTTCCACTCTGAAATGCTGCACCTGCCAGGTTCAATTCAGAGCCACACCATAGCCCTACCCACCAGGGCTTTTTATTCTGCAGCGTGTGGCAGGTGCAAGGGCTTGCTTGGGACAAGTTCATTCAGGAAGTGGCAAATACTTCCTAGCCTGGAATTCAACAACTGCCCTGTGTCAGCAGCAAGGGGCTAGTCTGCCCCTGCCTGGCTGAGGTGCCAGGGCTGTTTGGATTCTCCAACTACAGCAACATTATTTTTTTAAATCTTTTAGGATAAGAGATTCCATCTCTCCTGGCCAGGGAGAGAGCTTGCTTGGGACAAGTTCATTCAGGAAGTGGCAAATACTTCCTAGCCTGGAATTCAACAACTGCCCTGTGTCAGCAGCAAGGGGCTAGCCTGCCCCTGCCTGGGCGAGGTGCCAGGGCTGTTTGGATTCTCCGACTACAGCAACGTTATTTTTTAAAATCTTTTAGGATAAGAGATTCCACCTCTCCTGGCCAGGGAAGGAAGGAACGGCACAGCACACCCCCAGCAAGAAGCTGGGCTACACAACTCAACAACTGTTGAACAGGTATCACAGCAAGCCAGCCTACGGCTGCTCATTAACCCATCTCTGCGTTTGCATGGCTGTGCCCCTGGGGCAGGGAGCACTGACCTGCAAGCCCTCTACTCCTACCAGCCCTCTCCTCAGGTAAATATGGATTTAATCAAATCTTGAAATAGTTTTTGCTCTGAGAACTCCCTGCGATTCCATGAAGACGTGAACCATTTTGCTTTTGCTACTGATTTTGTGTGGAAGATGCTCAGGGGCAAGGATGATGGACAGCAAGAAAAAAACCCATGATAGCTCCAGAGCCGCTTTTCTTCCTCCCCTGAGGAAAATCTGCTCCATCCTGAGGGAACAGCAGAGATCTTGGAAAAAGACCAAATGAACAAAATCAAAAATCACCCCTTTTCTGTCACTGTCAGAGCATCCACCCCATGCTCCGCCTTTGCGACAGATTTCATGTCCCAGGAGCCTACAGCTTCCTGCCACAGATCAGAAAGCAGCCAAGGAAGGGCAGTTGCAGAGTTCTCACTCAGCCTCTTGTACCCCCTCTGGTGCGGCATCAAGGCTTTTCCTCTCCATAGAGCCTCCAGCTGGGTGGGGAGGCGTGTGTGTTTAAGCAGAGTCTGCATACAGAGGTGCAACAGCAGGAGAGTGTATTTAGCAAAGGTCTTTTGTCACAAATAGCAGCAACGGACCAGACCCACCCGCTCTTTTCAGCCAGCCTCAGCAGAGTTATTTGGGACATCCCATCCCACCCTGAATTTTAACCATCAAGTGTGTGGTGCACACTAGAGGTGTGCTGATCCTCCCCCCCCCAGAAGGGACCCGTGTGCTGGTCCTTTGCTCTACGCTGGCACCACGGTACCTCTGAGTAAACAGCCTCTCCCCACCAGGGTTCATCTCATGGCAAATGTATAGACATGGTAGATTTCGTCAGGGAAGTTCTCTTGCTTTTCTTCCACCAGGAGAGTGAGCCCTGCGCGCCGGACGATTGTCCGCACCACGTTCAAGTCCCGGCACACGCTGCTGTCCACATCGTCCATGATGACTCCTTCCTGGGCCATATTGTCCTTGATGACGATGATGCCGTTGGGGCGCAGGCCAACCTTGCATCTCTTCAGGAAGTCAGACAGGTGGTCGTCTGTCAGGTGTCCTGGCATGGGGAGGAACAAATGAGCGTTCACAGGGACCATGGAAAACAGACCAGCTGGATCCCTGACCTACACAACTGCGGGGGGAGGGGGAAAGGAAAAGCACAGCACAGGACGGGTCGAGTAGTGTTGAATCTATGCAGGAAGGAGGGAGCCCTAAACTGCTCAAAGCTGATTCAGGTGGGTGGGTCACTTCTGCACATACTCCCACAGGTGACGCCATGAAGGCCACTTCTACCCGCCCTCCTCAGGAAGTCTCATGCCAGCCAGTCTGTACAAGGGAACATAAGTAGGCCAGGGACAGCAGAACCCAATGAGGACTTTCTGTATGGCAGGGGGGAGGGAGGTGTCTCACCTATTACCCACTGGATCCAGATGACATCATAGGAGCTGGGCTCTGGGCTGAAGTCCTGCAGGCCGCAGCAGAAGTAGTTCCTCACTCGCTTGCCCTCTTCTCCCAGGTAGGTCCTCGCCTTGGTCAGGAAGTCCTTAGTCACGTCCACCATGTCCACTGCTTTGAAGAGAGGCAACAGCAGCCTCTTGGTGATCCTGCCAATCCCAGCGCCACAGTCCAAGGCACAGGTGGTCCCCGTCCTGTTAGGGCCATCCTGAAACGAAAGTGAACATGAGAGAGAGCCAGAACCCTGCAGAAGGGAACCTTGGCAATACCAGCGCTGGGGAAGGGGGTGGTCGGAGGGCCTGCTTTCCCACAGAACACCACTGTCAGCGGCACTACAAGTTTCCCTTGGGTTACCCTGCAGAGAGATCTGCTCCAACACCAAGTGGGCAGAGGAATCAGTGTGCAGAGTTCCCCACCCCCTCACTCACAGGGAGACTCCTTTTGGCTACAGGGGTCAGCAACCTTTTCAAACCAAAGAGCCAAACATCATCACATTTGAGAACTAGTGGTCAAGAGAGCCATATAAGAATGCCCATTTGCATGACTGAAAATATACAACTTTGTCAATGATCAGTGATATTATCATTAATAATAGCATAAAGGAAACATTGTGCTCACAGGCTTTATTTAATGGGACTTCTGCTGCTGCACATTTCTTTGAAGTTTACATCATAACTGGTCAAATCCAGTTTCATGTGTGCATGCAGGCTGTTAATCTTATGCAGGGGGTTGGGGATGTGGGAGCATGAGGGGCTCAGGGCAGGGGGTTCAGGTGTATAATGTACTCAGAGTTGGGATGTATGAGGGGGTGCAGGCATGTTATGATGCTGTGGCCAGATGAGGGCTGGGCCCCAATTGGGGGGGTGTTGGCCAGGCTTCATTTTTAAATAAAGTAAAATATTATCTCCAACACAAAAGGTTTCAACATTGTCTTTCTTTATGGCAGGGGTGGGGAACCTTTTTTGGGTTGGGGGCCACTGAGTTTGGGTGAAGAAGGCAGTTGTGACCCAAGGCACGGGATTGGGGTGCAAGGGTTTGGATTGTGACCTAGGGCAGGATACTGGGATGCAGGAGGGCGTGCAGGGGTTTCGACTGTGAGCCAGTGCAAGGGTTTGGATTGTGACCTAGGGCAGGATACTGGGATGCAGGAGGGAGTGCAGGGGTTTCGACTGTGAGCCAGTGCAAGGGTTTGGATTGTGACCTTGGGCAGGAGAGGACTGTGATCTGGGGCAGAGGACTGGGGTGCAGGGTCTGCAAGGGGGTATGGGCTCAGGAGGGGGGCAGAGGATTTGGGTTATGTGGGATGGGGGGGCAAAGGGCAGGCTCTGGCCAGGAGACTTACCAGTGAGACTCCAGGCCAGCAGCCCAGCACGTTTCTCAGGAGCCTGCCCTGCCCCTGCACAGATTGCAGAGCCATGTGCTCTGAATAACAGCCTGAGGGGAGGGGAAATTGGTGCTTCACACACTGCCTATTCTTGAAACAGGCAGCTTCCATTGGCCAAAAACCAGCCAATGGGATTGTGCTGAGGGAGGGAGCAGCCATGAAGCACCACTCCCCAAATCCCCTCCCAGCTCACAGTTTGTGAAAAACAGGCCCGCAGCCGCTTTTCTGAGCAGCGTGTAGGGGTGGGGCAAGCAGGGGAGTCTGCCTGGAGGCTCCCTGCTGTGTCCACAAGCTGGATTGTTTTGCCCAGCCCTGCTGTAGTGCCAGCATGGGCTCTCTGCTGCGGGGGGAACAAGGGAAGGGTGGACTTGAGTTTCAAAAGAGCCAGATTTGGCTCCCTAGTGAGCCAGATCATTTGCCATTGGGCAGAGGGGTGGCGCGATTAACCAGTCATCAGGTTATCCCCCTTTAACAGTGGGTGCGGATGATTAGCAAGGCCATGAAGGAGATCATTCATAGACAACCAGCATCATGGCACTGGACAGCCAACACACACAAGGAAAAACAACAATACATTTCACTCTGTGCAGAACATTTAGGTCTCTAGACAAAGAGCTATGTAAAGCGGTGGGTGAAAGAGAGCCACCCACTCAGCCGTGGTTAGAGTATGGTAGAGACACCCCCCCAGAGTTAATGGGCAAGCTATGGGACAGATCCAGACCACCTACCCGAAGGAACTTAAGCAGGAATTTTTTGGAGCTGTTGATGTCAATGCTGGAGATGTGGCCGTACCCACCCAGCATGCCGTCCACCGTAGGTGGCACGTCCTTCCAGTATTTCTCAGCCTTGGAATAAAATTCCATCTCATCTTCCACCACCTCGCTGGTCATGCTGCTGAGCAGGATTGTCCTCTAGGCCCAGGACCGGATCAGAGACTTATCTCGCTCCTCAAAAGAAGGGAAAAGAAAACCAAGAGAGGTCAGGCTGCCAGACCTGTAACTGCAAAATGTAACTTTGCCACCAAGCACCGAGGCCAAGATGAGAAATGTATTGTCAGGCCCTGTCTACAAGCCATCGGTGGGGTTCTGAATTGCAGCAGAAAGACTTGGCTAATTTCACTTTGGGAAAGTTTTGGACACTGGCAGAAAGCAGCGGAGCAGCGTGCAAGCTCAGTAAGTGAGTGATGCCCTGGCTTGCAAGCTTCCCCTTTGCAGCTGTAAGGCCATTTTTAAATAAATGAAAGTGGATGCCTTGGGCACCACCCTTCATTAAGGAAGGTTGCCTATCAACCTCGCACAAAAACAGTTTCCCATCCCACAAGCCCTGCCAACTCCGCTCCCTTCTTGGCACTAGCTCTCTTCAAATAGGTACAAGGGGTTGCCCTTGGAGCGGCCATCTTTTCAGGTGTTTGCATATCCACTACAGCATGGGTTCCCAGGGGGGCATGAAGAAATCGGTTAAAAAATTCAGAATACTCCCCTGAGTACTGGCACCTTTACATGGGTCCCGGGAATTAAAGGGGCCGCGACTTTTGACTTTTTTTTCAACCCCAGTCAGTTCCTTTTTTTTGCTCAACAAGTTTTGTTGCTATTTTGGGGGGGAGGGGGGCGGCGTGAGGGTTTCTCAAAAATAAAAAAATGGGGCATGATGCCAAAAAGTTTGGGAACCACTGCACTACAGCCTCCTTTTAAGGGCTCCCAGCCAGACTAGACCTACTGGGCTCCAGTAATGTTTTTTTCTCCAGTTCAATCCTTCTCAGCTCCCTCTGAGGGACAGGGGGACATTCTGTGCTGCATCCTGGGGCTTTCAGCTGCTTTTTATCCTTCCAGTCCTGGGCTCTTCCTGAGGCTGACCTGGCCCAGTGGGACAGGGTGGAGGGGAGCCCCACAGAGCAAGGCGGCCAGTGTCAGTGCCATGAACAGCCCCAAGGAGTCACCTGTGAGGGCTGCACAGAATCTCTACAGCCCCACCCGACCCAGCCCTCCCATTCCCAGCAGTGCCCAGCTGCAGGGCTTGGGAGGGAGTCCTCAAAGCCGCCTTCAAGGCTGATTTCTGCTGTGCCTGCACGGGCAGACGTCTCCCCCCCGACACATACAGGCCTTTTCATGCCAGTCTGGCCCTTTCTGCAGCATGAAGAGGCAGAAGCTGGGGTGACAACCTCATCCACAATACCTATGTGGCAGTGAAATGACCACAACTGGACACAATATCCCTGGGGCAGTGGCACCATGGCCAGACAGCCAGAACCCTGCTCCATAATGTGCCTTTTCTGAGTCTGAGCTCTCATTCCTCCCCTCCCCCTCATATACACACCCTTCCCATCCCTGCCTAAAAGTCTTATGACAGTTACTGGTGTATAGATTACATGTTTATCTAGGTTGACACCCCATCAATCACCCCCAATTACATCCAGAGTAGCTAAAAGATATTCTAAGCACCTGCCTGAAGACTGTAAATTTCAGTCATGACCATAAGTTGGACACTTGGCAATATAATAAAGTCAAGGTATAATCAGGAATACAAGCTGTAAATTCCAAAAGACAACTCATAATTCAAATCACTGAGGACTTGATGCAGTGTTCTGGGGATTAGAAACTAAATTTAGCGTGGCCAAAGGGTAAATGCAAGGACTCAGAACACCTTTACAATGTAGAAACAGATGGTTTTGTGGGCTACGTTTCCTGAGAAATATTCCATTATATATACAAATCTTTTTGCAGGTAGCCTAAAGAGCATCCATTCTCTGGCATGATGTTAAACAGCAACAGAGAGGGTACAATGTAAAAAAGTACCCAGAGAGTAAGAGCTTGGGGAGGTTGTAGCAGGTCATGGAAAGACTCACCTTTAGTCCACCAGCGTGAGCTCTAATGACAAAAAGGCAGATCCCTGTTCTGTGGCCTGTGTGGAGATAAATGGCATGGTGTCAGCCCAGGGCCCATAGCGCACATGCAAATTCAGCACTGCAAGTGGAAGCAATTAGCTTCCATCTCAGCAGAGGAACCGTGGGCTGAGTGGATGGGAAAGACGGAGCATTCCCCTGTCCTGGAGATGGCTCCAGTGTGTCCCTGCTGAGTCACTTACATGTTTGGGATCTTGATGCCAGCACTGTTCCTGCTGTGGGAGGGAGGGGAGAGGGGTCTCAGGGTGTCACGCGACTGCCCTGACGACAGAGAGACGTTAGCTACATCCCTCAATGCACAACTAGAAGAGGCTCACGTACTATGGGCATGAAGGCAACATCAGGATCTACAGAATACAGCTGAGAGTCCCACCCCTTAAATCAGCAGTAAATTCCCTTTAAAGACACTACTGACACAATGCAACAAAATAGTCACACTTGCTCCCTCATCTTGAGGGGGCAGGGGATTCTTATTGGGTTCTGCACCTGCTTTCAGGGACTTGAGGAGCAGCAGATTTCATTGCCCCAGACAGGGACACTATCTCATGCTCTAGGTGTCCCATAACCTCTAACTGACAGATGCTGGGACTGGATGACAGGGGATGGATCACAGGATAACTGCCCTTTTCTGGTCTTTCCTTCTGAAGTGTCTGGCACTTGGCCCTGGGTTAGATAGCCCGCTGGCCTGACCCACTCTTGCGTTCTTATGAACAGGAAAAGAATCTCTTCTCAACCCTTCATGGAGGAGTTGACACTATCCCAGTGGGGCACTGGCACATCAAGGACTTGTCTACACTACAAACGCTTTATGGGTAACACCAGCCAAGCCAGCATGGGTTGCTACTGCCCGAAAGCTAAATCCACCAAAGCCCTTTAGCGGAGACGCAGCGCACACTGACGAAAGTTCCTTTGCTGGTGTAACTGAACCACTTCCCCAGCCAACATAAGTTGTGCTGGCAGAGGAACTCTTGCCAGTATAAACAGCACACACCTTAAGGCTTTTTAGCCAGCATAGCTATGTCAGGCAGGGGCACGATTATTTTCCCCAGACTCCTCGCTAACACAACTACGCTGTCAAAACTTTGTAACGCAGACCTGGCCTCAGAGAACGTTGGAGGGCCACAGAGCAAGCACAGGGAGTCCGTTTTGCCCTTGGCCTTACCCTGTTCTGTATGACGTTAACAAAGTACATAGAGCAACAAAGAGATTTAAGCACAACACAGGGATACTGGTGCTAAATGGTAAGAAGAGGAGAGTTTAAGGGTTGTTTTTTTTGTTTTGTTTTGTTTTTTTAAAAAGGGTTTATTGCTCAGATCTGCCCTGAATCGCTGCAGAGATCGGGCTGCAGATTTAAAAAGGGTTTATTGCTCAGATCTGCCCTGAATCGCTACAGAGATCGGGCCCCGCGCTCTGCATGGCTCTGTGCTCAGGCTGTTGAAGAGGAAGAATCAGTGTTCGGAGGCCTGCATCTGGACACTGCCCAAAGTAAAGAGATCCCCAAGCCATGGCTGCCCAGTGAGCTCACCCAACAACCCTCCTTCTACGTGCATCCACGCAGGCAATTCACAAGCATGGAGGACACCCGTGAGTGTCATGAGCATAAGTGACACCCAACAGCTGCGGCAGCCGTTGCTCTGGTGCTAGGAAACTTGCTGCCCAAAGCCAAAGGGCGGGCCCTGCAACCGAGCCCCTATCTCCAGCTGTCAGGCCAAAGAATGCAGGGAGCTGGCTCTGCACTTTAGCTCGCTGCCAGCGAGCTAGTCACATGGATGTGCAGGAGCAAGAAGCAGGCAGCTAAATATCATTGGCTGCCTCCTCCCCTGCCAGGGCTGACCCATGTTTCTGACCAGCCAAGCACAGGAACAGGCAGGAGAGCACAGAGTATACTCTGCAATCCCAGGGCAGAGAACGTGGAACCAGAACTTCCCCACTCTCAGTCAAAATCCTGCCCAACTGGACCCGTCTCTGCCCTACGGGCTTGCACTAGTGGCTAAAATCCCAGCCTCGGCAAGGCCTAGGAGTTCAGCCTTTCAGTGCTTGGCTCTCAGAAAGGCCAAGGAAGTGCCTTACGAGACATCTCCATGATACTGTTTCAGTATGTGCCCATCAGGCAGAGCTGATGTTTTACCTTCCTGGCGCAGGAAGAATCATGCTTGAGACAGACTGGAACAGGTCCAATTACCTTCCAGAAGAAAGGTTCCAGGGGATTCAGTGTAACTTGCACAGCCCTGGGCACTCACACACCTGCTATCAGAGGCCTTGGCTACACTGCAAGTACATAGGGACACAAGAGGGAGCTACAGAATAGACAGCACAAAGGGTGTTTTGCCACCCAGCCAAGCCAAACTCCATTGCCATGTCCCCTATTACTGGGGCTACATGGGCTGAGAAGTACAGATCCATATTCTGCCAGACTCAGCAGATGGAAATAAACTCTAGCTCCAGCCATGCCCTTCGGATGTGGGAGGCAGACCCAGAACATTACCCGGCACTGGGGACACGCCAGCCCCAAAGCTGTCTACAAAGCTACAACTAGTCAAGCTTTTTGTGCCTTGTAACACTAACAAAGAGGCCCAGGCATTGCAGACAGCTGTGCTTTTTCAGTGAGGGCTCCCCCTCCCTTACTCCTCAATCTGGCCCCACATTTTCAAACTTAGGCCCAGGTTTAGACCCCTAAACACACAGCACCCTCAGCCCTACTGAGGCAGGAAGCATCCAGCTACTTTTATTTAAATGCCTAAGTTCACACACAGTCTGAAAACCGCAGTGGAGCACATTAAATGTCATTCCCCAGCTCCCGGAGTGGCTACTCATCTGGAGATCCTGGCACTGCCCAGCTGGGAAAGCAGAAGTGAATATGCCCCAGAGACAGAACTAGAGGATTGCAATGCCCAACCCACGTACCCCCTCCCACCCAGCACACCGAGAAGAGAAATTTGGCTCTACATTGTTGGAAGGTCTATTATACGGTGACCATATTTTTCTGAACCAAAAATACGGACACCTTGGCCACCTCCTTACCCCTTCGGCCCCACCCACCTGACCCAAGAAGTCCCACCCCTGGAGAGGTATTTTCAGGGTCAAGATGAACACATGACTGGAAGTAAAGGGTATCATGTGACCCCTCTAAGAACTCCTCCCACCATCCTCTACCTATAGGGATGGATTTGGGCCCCACAGGCACCCCCCATGCAACTACACTGCAATTGCATTAACCCAGGGTCCAGACCAAGGGTCCCATGACAGTGCAGTGCTTCGGATCTAACCTCGATTCAAGAGGAGATCCAGGATCTAAGATCTATTACTTTGCAGTGTAGATGCAGCCCCATTTGACTCAGAGCCTGGGAATCATCCAGAATTATCCCACAATTTCATGGGACAACTTCCATAGTCCTCTTAATGGATGTTGCCTACTGGTTCCAATTAACTGGTAATCAGAAGGGGCTGGAGCAGCTCCCCACCTACTTCAGGATGGGAGTTGCTTCAGGCTCACAGAGGGCCTGCTCTCATCCAGATCAGCCCGTCTCTGGAGAACTCAGGGGCCCCACAGGCATGAACTGCGCCAGTGTCCAGAGCAGCCTCTCTCCCTGGGGAGTCCAGCTTGCTAAGGACAAGGGCTTCTCCGGAAGGGGCTGTGAGCCAGGGGCAGGCCCAGTGTGACCTAACCTTAACCGGTTAACCAATGAATGGGATTTTACATCCCAATGTGATGGACTGCAACTGCATTTTTTGAAGTCACCGCAAAATTATCAAGTGTCCTCCATTTTCACAAGCCAGAATGACAATACTGAACCATGACAATTACAGGGTGGAGGAGACCATGTCACTAACCCTGACCACCACTGCTTGAAAGGTACATTGCCCACGGAGATCAGTGGGGCTGCGTTATTTTATATGTAAAGCTACTGAGAAATGTATGTCAATACCATGATGGCAATGCCTATATTATGCAAGTAATAGCTAATAATTGTCAAATGAGACCACTTCTCAACCTGCTCACAAAGCACCTTATCCTATTTAATTTTAAACTAGGATTGGGCCCAAAGCAATCTGATATTACCCAAAAAGATCCAGGCAATATTTAGTCATCCTTCAAAAATATAAGGGACCAATCAGTCAAAGCCCCACTGCCTGGTAGAGGCAGTCTTTGAAGAAATTTGGAGAAACTTTGAATTTACTTCTGACAACAGTGCTCTCTCTCACTGGACATGGGAGCTTTAGCACAGATTTCACTTTGTGTCAGAATAACTCAGAAATGTGTTGTCCCACATTCAAGTCTAGACAACAGGCAGCCCAAAGACAGAACAAATTCCTTTGAAGCTGGAAGTCAAAACATCTCATCTCTTCATAGAGCTCACAAAGGGCTTGTTCACCATGACACAACCCTCTCTGGAGAGAGACAATACTTCTGCCTCTCTGTGGACGCGCCAAGTGTTTTCACATGGCATCTTAACATACTGTTTAAACCATCAACTGCTTGGATGAGGAAGACTCACAATAAGTCTGCCCAACATCCACACCCGACTGACAGTGATTTCACCACAGACCCAATCTCTCTGTGGGCTCTTCTGGAGGAACAGAGAGCCTGGGGAGGTCTCTCAAGGGAGAAGCCAGGGTTACCTCTATTTCAGTGATTCTCAACCTTGTTGAGCCATGGGGATCCACAGGCCAATGCAAACTTTTCCATGGACCACCAGTTGCTAATGGAACTCACCGTTAATTACGTCATTTCACCTGAGCTATTTTTCTAGTGCTGCAGCTACAGAGACTGGTTTAATTTAAATTATTAAACAGATTGAGCATTTTAACTCTTAAACTAAGTTAAATAAAATATTAATTTAAATTCAATGTCCAACACAAAAAGGTTTCAATGTTTTCTTTATCAGCTTCAGAGGGTAGCCAAGTTAATCTGTACAGGATAAACTATAAAAAACACAAATAGTCTGGTAGCACTTTAAAGACTAACAGAAAGCTCATGATACCATCTACGTGTTTTGTT